CTGTTCTCCCTGAAGTTCATTTCACCCAAAGTTATGGAAATGTCTGACCTGCTAAGTTAGTCAAGACTCTAGTGACCAGCTTGACCACCTTGTTATGTCTGTGTTTAATCACAACTTTGCCACTTTCCTTGTCTGATTTGAGCTCATCTGGACACTGCAGTGAATTTAGAAGAAGGGGAGAGACTCGTGGGCGGCATCTGCTTCCAGCCATTTCTGAGACTCGTGCGCAGTCGCTGGCCCTTCTTGTGCTTCTCTGCCCTTGGTCACACAGTACAAAAGCAGTGGAAAGAGTTTGGCTTTTGTTACGAAGACATGGCCAGAACAAGCAGGGACACAGACCTGCTTTTTCTATGGTATCATCTTGTTCCGGAAGGTGCTTAACCAAAACTGAAGGTGTAAAATCCTAGAGCTCGCTGGTCTATTTTAGTAGGTCACAGGAAGCATGAAAACCATAGAAACCACAAAAAGCCAAAAACATCGATGATAGCAAGAATTTCTCTGCCTTCCCGAGGTACCAACTGATAAGCCCACGCTGAGGGATAGGGGAGCCTCGGGCATCGCCGCAGCACCTTCAGGCTTCGGCGACTTCTCGCTGCCGTCTTGTCCACACCAGCCCCCTCCAGCCATCCGGCTGAGTGCTGCCGCCTATGGAGTGGCACAGAGGAAGGTGCCAGGACAAACTCAGCTTCCAGCTTGAATGGCTGAACCCCCAACTCAGCTGCTGACCTTCCGAGTGAGTCAGCTGAGTCTCAGTGTCTGTTCTCAGCGCCAGCCTGACTTCCTCGGTGCCTGGGGACCATGAACAGGGCTCACTTTGGTGCTGTGCAGAGGAGCAGAGCTGCCGCTCACCCCAGTCCCTGCCCCCTTGAGGTGATGCCAGCCACACCTGCTCAGTCAGCAGAGCCACTAGACCAACATGCATGGAGACGTTTCTTCCCTTAAGATGACCCAGAACTCATCTTCCAGCCCGGAAAGCCCAGAAATTGCGAGCTTGGCCAATCCCAATGGAAGATGTGCAGCCGTCAGGCAGCAGCGCCTTTCACGGCTCCCTCCCAGCGCAGACGAGGGCTCTAAGGTGTGCTGCTCTTGATGTCACTTTCCTGCGTGTCTGTGTGACTGGGTGAAAGGGAGGCAGCAACAATACAAAGCAGCTTGACCTGGTGGCTATGTGCGCCCTCAGATCCTCACAGGGGGTTTTCACCCACCCTAGCCCCTGGGTCTGGCTTGGAGGTCCCAGCCAGAAGTCAAAGAGCTGGGCCAGAGTCACCCTCCCACTTCAGCTCACGGGATATTGCTTAACCTTCTGAGCTTTGAAGCTATAAGACAGAAAAATACTTCTTCCCCCAACCTTGACAAGTCCTTAGTCGGAACAGACCCCAGTAATAAAATTCAGGGTGGTGAGAGGAGGAGAGGAAGTACATTAGCAGACCTGTTTCACAGACACATGGGTAGATCCAGGGGCCGCAGCGGTCGCGGAAAAGTGCCTGGGGTTCTCGCTTACACGGCTGGTTCCACAAAAAGTGGTCATGTTTAGAGAAGTAGCCTGGTGGAGAAAAAGGAATTTTGGTCTCCAGGGACACAGAGCTTCTGGGGTTGTTGCCGGGGAGCTAGGGTCTAACGTTGTCCCCAGGGTTGACTTCTGTTCTTCCTGACAGAACAGAAGGTGAGGAGGATTTTCGCCTTCATAAGACTTATGTCCTGTCTTTGACAGATAGAGGGAAGGCAGTGAGCTTCCCTGCATCAGCCTGTTCTGTATCACGGTCAGCTCTAAAACCCTTAAGACAAAGAGGCCTGTTTTGGTGTGGCGTGTCCAGGCTTCCACGAACGTAGAGGAATCGGCCTCGCTGCTGCTCATCTCTGGAACCCTCAGCACTCTCAATGCTTGTGTACATGCTTTTTCTTCAGATGGACTATTTCTACATAGTGCAGGCTGGCCTGGAGCTCACTATATCGACAAGGTTAGCCTCAGACTTGCAGGGACCCTCCTGCCTCAGCCTTCCAAGTGCTGGAATTACAGTTGTGCGCCACCACACCTGGCAACACTTTCATCCTGACAGAGTCTTTTTGGAATCTCCCCAAATGTGCTCTGGTGCCAGGTACAGTGAAAATCCTGCTCTCCCCTGCCTACCGCTCTCCTTATTGACGAAATGACAGGGCTGGGCCCAGTGAACGCTGGAGTGCACATGAAAATATCATTCCATTCTCAGGCAGAGTCAAAGGAGCTGTTTCAAGATCCTGGGTCAGGAGGTTTAAGACCTCACAGGGCATGCTGCTCCGGGCAGGCAGAGGAAGCAGCTTTTTGTGTTGTGTTTTTTTATTTTGAGACAGGGTCTCACTATAGAGTTCAGGCTGGCTTCAAACTTGTAGTGATTCTCCTGCCTCAGCCTCCAAACTGCTGGAAATACAGGTGTGCCCCACCGTGCCTGGAAAGAAATCAGGCTCTTCTAGAGAACCCATGAGGCCCCTGAAGAGGACACAAACACTGAGCCCCCGAAGAACTGTGGTGACTGTGTACTTGGCTCTGTAAAGGACAAGTGGCTACCCGCAGTCTCTCTGCTGCCTTGGGCTCTGACGTGGCCAGCCTTGGCCGTGCCCGCAGCCTCTGGCCGGGGTGGTCACTCTGTTTACCACAGGGTGATGTGCTAGTTGCTTTATACCTATTTAAGCCCCAGCAGCCCCAAAGAGCTTGTGATTCCTACTTTCCAGTTGGCAAAGTTGAAGCTCAGGAACACGCCACAGCCATAGCAAGAGAACCTGGCTGCTGGCTCCGCTGAACTCTAGAAAGCCCCAGGGCCGGGCTCTCGGTCTGCCTGGTTGTAAGGATGCTTCTGAGTGTGGAACCTACATGGGAAAATTCTGTTTGCTTTTCACAAAATTTCTTTTTTTAAAAAAAAAATATGTATTCATTTGGTGCAGGGCCTCGCTACACAGCTCAGGCCCACAGTGATCCTCCTGTCTCAGCCTCTCCAGCACTGGGATTATAGGCGGGCACCACCACGACCAGTTTCAGTGGCCGGTACAGCAGGCCCTGGGTTCTGGGGCCAGCACAGCACGGAGGACAGATCAAACTCGGGTCCTTGCGCTTGCCAGGCAGGCACTTAGACTGCTGAGCTCTCTCCCTAGCCCTTCACAGAATTTCTTTCAGAGGAGAGAGACCTGTAGTAACTGAGGACATCCATGAGGAACTTTTATCTAACTAAACATTCTCACCAGATCTCGGGCTTACACCCGCTCTGAAGCCAGAACACGACCAACGAGACCACATCCTACTCCTCCACCTGCAGGGCGGTGCTGCTCCCTGGAAATCCGCCAGCGCTCTCGCGTTTGTCATGCAAATCACGGTAGGGAGGAGAGCAGGTAGTGGAAGAGCCCTTCACAGGCTGGGCACGGGAAGCCAGGCTTTATACAGGAGCAGGCGCTGGGGAGGGCTTGACTCACTCTTGGGCTTGCACAAGAAGATTTCAAAATGAATCCTCCCTGGAGACTTTAGCCCATCAAGCCACGTTCCTGGCTGGAGAAAGAAGAACTGCGTCTTTGTAATTTTTTTTCAAACCTTTACCATCACTTGCCCTCAGATCTCCGCCTTCTCTCTCTGCAGGAAACTTGATTTCCTACTTCTGCACGCCAAGTGAGTATCTCCAGATCTGTCTGGTTCTGTCCCCGAGAGAACTGACACAGCAGGGCCACCTGGAAGAAAACACCCAGGGTGAGTGGTGGTGCTTTGGCAGTGACTTTTTAGGAATGTGGGAGGTAGAGCTGAGCTGCGGGCATAGGACCTGACCCTGGGGAAGGACCCAGAGAGGGCAGGTGCACCCTGAGCTGTGGGGAGACGCTGGTGACAGGGCGTGGCAGGGTGCGACCTTCCCTGGGGCTGAGGTGACAGGAGAGAGGGACAGCAGTGGCTTTAGGGACAGCCACTCTGCTCAGCCACCTGGCTCACTCTGCCTCCCCATGCAGGCAGGGGCTTGGAGGGCTGGGCCCTCCTTCAAACCCATGTCCCCACCCTCACCCAAATGTGCCCACTTCTCTAATCAGGAGGTGGGCAGAGGCCGAGTGAGAGGCCTCTTCTCTCGGAGGCAGCATCCTCTCGGGGCTGGGGCGCAGCTTGATGCCTGCAGCACCTGGGCCAGCAGGCGTCGGGTGCTGAGCTCGCAGCCTGCTGCTCAGGTACTGGCTGCCGGCTGCTGGGCGCCGGGGTGCCGAGGCTCACGCATGGGGTACAAGGCATCTGGTGCTGCACCTGGAGCTCCAGAAGTTCCCAAGGAATGATCACCGGTGGCTGGCCGGGGCTGCTGACCTCTCTCTCTCTCTGGTTGCGTTTTGTTCCTGTTTGGCTCGGTGGAGCCCCGCGAGGTGCAAGACCTGTGAAATGTGCCAGTCAGCCGAGAGGTGGAAGGATAGAGCGGCACGGCCAGTGCACACAAGCACCTTCCTAGTCACTACAGGGAGGACTGTGTTAGGGTAACGGCGGCGCCCTCCTAGTGTTAGGTGCTAGGGTAAGAGTGACCGTAAAGAGCTGCGCACTCATCTGGTAAGCAATTTTTAGCTCCGTGAGAGCGTAAAAGCTAGAGACAGAAACACGACCCAGACCCTGGCCTTGTGTGCGGAGGGAACGTGAAAGGCCAAAGCCTGAGCGGGTGAGGGCGCGCTGGCAGAGGGGGCAGCTCAGTCTTCACAGAGAAGGGGTGTGGAGGGGTGGGTAGGCGCTCACTGGCCCCTTCAGGCAGAGGCCCAAGGCTGTGCAGAACCACCAAAGCGCAAAGGGAATGATGAGACGAAAGGCGAGAAGGTGACCTGAGAGTGGAGAGCTGAGAAGAGACTAGAGGTGACCCTGACAGGGGAGCCCAGAGGTGCACAGTGCGCAGCTGGCCACTGTCTCTGGGGTCCTGGGACACCCACAAGCCACAAGGGCTGCTGGAGGGGCCAGGCTGACGAGAAGGCGCCAGCAGTTGAGGTGGGCGGGGGACAAAGCAGAGGGGCATTTATGTGTGGGGTGGGACTCGTGGGGCAGAACCATGCAGAGCAGCTTCCCACAAGTGCAGCCAAGCCCGTCCCAGGCGGTCTCCTTGGGAACTCAGCAGAATGGCTTCGTGCAGAAAGGGGCTGAGGGGTGCCGCAGCTGGAAGCGGAGGCGATTTCGACCCTGGTTTCGCTCCCAGCTCTGGCCTCTCATGTCCTAGAGAAAGGGATAGGAAAATGCCCACGCTCACTCCTCAGGGGGTGCAGTTATGGCAATAACTAAGCTAAGGGATGCTTTGTTGGGGCAGGGAGGGGCCTGAGTGGGTCCCTGCAGCGAGCCCGCCTGGCTCACTGCAGCCTTCGGGGCCTGGAACAGTCCGGCTCGTGGGCCATGAATAAATCCATAAGAACATGCACAGGTGCAACCCCGAGGTCAGGAGAAAGGTGAGGCCTGGAGACAGAGCTCTGGGCGGCCCCAGGGAGCAGGGCAGCCTGGCCCTGGGATTAGCTGTCCCAATTCTGGAGGAGTTCTGGAGTGAGGTTTGAAAAGAGGCGATGTTAACAGAGGGGACAGCCATGGGAGACGCCCTGGCACTGCTGTGCTGTGGGCACAGGAAAGGGATGCAATAGCTCAGTGGACTAAGCACTTATTTAGGTAAGTGCAAGGGCCAGGGTTTGATCCCTGGGCACACTGAGCCAGCGATGGAGTCCGGGCATGGTGGCGCATGCCTGTAATCCCAGCACTAGGGAGGCAGAAATCAGGAGGATCACTTGAGTCCAAGCTGCATAGTGAGATCCTGTACACACACACACACACACACACACACACACACACACACACACACAAAGAACCTTTTAAAAAAGAACATTGATAAGAAGTACTCAATAGGCACTTCCTCCGAGAAACCAAGGGGTTCTAAACGGAAGAAGTTAGCAAAAGAGCGACTGCTCAGGGAGGGTTGAGTGGAAGCAAGGACATGTGTTTGAACTCCACGCGGTCCCTGCAGCCATGGCAAGAACAGTCTGGGCCAGAAGAGGAGGTGGAAAGCTGACAGGGCTCTCAGAACGTCTGGGGCTGCAAGGAACAGGAAATGCAATTCACAGGGGCTCGATTTTCTCAACTAATCAGTCAGACAATGAGCAGTTCAAGAGTGAGCTTGAGGGTCTGCCTCCCTGGGCTTCTCAGGACCCTCTGGGTCTTTAGGCCATGGTCCCAGACACCAAGCCTGTGAGCCACATGGCAAAAGGAGAGGCACCAGGCAGGGGGTGCTCAGGGGAAGAGCATTCCTTGATGTGCTCCAGCAGATCTGACAGACATACGCTTGTGCAGGGACACTGACACGCTGTCCATCACCCACAAAAGAAGCAGAGAGCCCCAATACCTAGCCTTGTTGGCCTGCGGATGAGAATCACACTCCCTGGGAAGACAGAGCAGGCCACTAAATGGCTGTTGGGTAGATGACTGGCATCTGCCTGGAGGAGTGACAGGGAGTGATGGCCCTCAGGAGACAGAGCCAAGGCTGAGTGCACGGGCAGCTGATTTGGGTCAGGATTTGGAGGAGGCACTTGGGTTTTGAGCACATCATTTCATTCTCTATTTCCAGAAAGGAAGGACAAGGACCTGCTTCACTAGCTTATCAGTGACATGTCTTTTCTCTCATTTCTAAGAATGGAAGAAGCCACCACTACATACGACTACGATGAGGGCATACCCTGCAGGAAACCTGAAACGTGGCACATGTCAGCCCAGCTGCTGCCCCTGCTCTACGCGCTGGTGGTCATCTTCGGCTCCGTGGGCAACATCCTGGTCATCCTCATCCTGGTCACCTGCAAGCGCCTGAAGAGCATGACAGACATCTACCTGCTCAACCTGGCCGTCTCCGACATGCTCCTCCTCCTCACGCTCCCCTTCTGGGCTCACTACAGCGCAGCCCACAGCTGGGTCTTTGGAGACGCGGTGTGCAAGCTGCTCACGGGGCTCTACCACATCGGCTATTTCGGAGGGGTCCTCTTCATCATCCTCCTGACCATCGACAGGTACCTGGCCATCGTCCATGCCGTGTTTGCTCTGAAAGCCAGGACAGTCACCTTCAGCGTGGTGACCAGCGGGGTCACCTGGCTGGTGGCTGTGTTTGCTTCTCTCCCAGGAATCATCTTCGTATCACAAAATAAGTCTGGTAGCCTTTACGAATGTGGTCCTCATTTTCCACTCACATGGAAGTATTTCGAGGCACTGAAGAGGGTGCTCTTGGGGCTGGTGCTGCCGCTGCTGGTCATGATCATCTGCTACTCAGGAATCCTGCGGACCCTGCTGCGGTGCCGGAACGAGAAGAGGCGGCACAAGGCGGTGAGGCTCATCTTCACCATCATGGTCGGCTACTTCCTTTTCTGGACGCCCCACAACATCGTGATCCTCCTGGACAACTTTCAGAAGTCCTTTGGGCTGAGTGACTGTGAGAAGACAGGCCAGCTAGACCGGGCAGGGCAGGTGACCGAGACTTTGGGGATGACACACTGCTGTGTGAACCCTATCATCTACGCCTTCGTGGGGGAGAAGTTCCGCCGGTACCTCTCGGCGTTCTTCCAAAAGCACGTGGCCAAGCGCTTCTGCAGGCAATGCCCAGTTTTCTACCGGGAGGCGATAGACCACATGAGCTCTGCCTACACCCCGTCTACTGGGGAGCAGGAGGTCTCGGCTGGCTTCTAGCTTGAGATGGCCTGTCATGTTCTAGGGGAGATGGCCATCTGTGAGAACAAGGCTCAATGGCTGGTTGGTGACAGAGACCCAAGAGTGACATTCCCAGGAGCCCCAGGACTGTGCCCAGGCTCACTTCAGTTTTTGGAAAACCATGCTTCCTCACCTTGGGCAACAGTCTTTCCAAACTTCGTCTTTTTGTTCTCTGATTCTGTCCATCTCTGATTAACCAAAGCCACACACACACACACACAAGGTGGGGTACAGAGTGGGACAGGCATGGGATGGACTGGGATGAGGGGACCCAGGGGCCAGGCTGCAGGCGGGGAGGAAGGAGACTGGGGCAGGGCCCAAGTGGAGATGGTGGTGAACAAAGAATGGGTCCCAGCCCTTGGCCCCATCTCCCACCTGTACATGACCTGGCAGACTGAGCCCATCACGGAAACTCTGCAAACATAATCATGCTAGAGAGCTCGGGTTGGATCTGTGGGCTCTTATGTGTGCATGCGTGACACATTTTTGCTTTACTATGATTCATCCATCACAAAAAGGTAGCTTACTTGTGAAGGAAACTGCATCCCGTCCCAGCCCTGCATGGTCACCAGAAGGGACACTCCCTCCCTGGAGAGCCAGGGCATGTCCTCAGAAGCCTGAGGACGTGGCTGACAGAGGCCACTGCTTTGGAAGTCACACACCTCTCACCGGCAGAGCACAGCACCTCCGTTGCCAGGCTTGGTGAACTTAGACTGGCAAGATCCGCGATGCCTTGGGGAGGAGGGTTTCCTGGACGCCCTCCCCGAGCTTAACTGTGGATATAGTCACTGAGCTCACGCATTAAGAAAAACAAAACAAAACACAGGAAAAGTAAAATTAAGGCTGAAAACAGCAAGTAGCCAGTAGGATGAAGTGTTACATTAACAGCTACTGTCGTGCCAGGCCTGAAACTGGCACTATAGTAGCCAGAGAGACCGTTGTGACTGTGAGCAGGAAGGCGTGGGACACAGGATGCGCAGGCCAGGAACAGCTCGGGAAGGACGCGGCCGGGATCTGGGCGTCGTGGCCAGGCATCTGCAGTGCCTAGGCAGGAATGCTCCGAGGTCACCGCGCACACCCCGCGGACACTGTCTCCGGCGGTCTTATCCTCTCAGACTTGCTCCAAATATCTTGCCTCTGCATTATGAGCCCCGCTTTAATCGCATCAGGGTGTTTCTGAGCTATGGCTGTCCTCATCCCCTCGTCGGCAGGGGCACTCCTGTCCCGACTCTGACTTTCAGCTCCTAGTCAGAGCTCTGCAGGTCTGTGAAGAGGGTGGGAGGAGAGGCGCTCACCAGCCAGGGACGCTACCTGGTGTACTGGTGTGTTTCTAGCCTCGTGGAGACCAGAAGCTGCGGGCACCTGGAGTGGGGGCCACGGGAGCAGGAAGTCTCTGTGGTTTGACCTTTTGCCCTCGGTTGGAGAAGGTTTCAGGAAGAAGTAAGGACAGGGCAAAGTGTCACCTAGCAAAGGCATGCAGTTGTGTTTTGATGGTGAAATGTAGATTTGTTTTTAAAATATGATGCTTTCTAAAATAAATGAATGCCCCATCTTTTCTCCTTTCTCTCCTATTAATTGTTTAAATCTTAAGTTGTTTCTTTTTATTTTACTACATCTGTTATACCTTTCATGTTTTGTTTCTTCTTTTGGGTTCTTACAGTAGGAAGACAATACGATACACACGTGGGTCTGTGTACCCACTTGCGAGTACAGCCTCTAGTTGCACCCATTTACCTATGAAGGCTTCCGAGTTTGTCTTTCTTTATAGCCGAGTCATACTCCATTGTATAAAAGCACCACATCATTTCTTCCATTCCTCAGGTGATGGGCATCTTGGTTGCTTCCAAGATTTGGCTGTGACAATTGCGCTGCTATAAACATGGGTGCACATATATTACTGTGGTATGATGTTTTCACGTCTTTTAGGAAAATACCCAGAAGGGGAAGAGCTGAGTTGTATGGGATTTCCAATCCTAGTTTTTTAAAGATTCTCCACACTGCTTTTGATAGTGGTTATACCAGTCTACAGTCCCACCAGCAGTGGAGAAGGGTTCCTTTTTCCCTGCAGCCTCTCCAGCATTTGTTATTAGTTGATTTCCTTACAATGGCCATTCTTTCTGGGGTGAGATGCTGTCTCAATATTGTTTTTTTAATTTTCATTTCTCAAATGGCCAGTGAGGTGGAGCATTTTTTCAGGTATATATTTGCCATATGTATATCTTCCCCTGAGAAGTGCGTGCTCATCTCAGATGACCATTGTTGGATTGGGTCTTTAAGTTTGGGCCTCTAATTTTTTTTTTTTTTTTAATTCTTTATGTATTCTAGATAGAAGACCTTTGTCTGAGTGAGTATTGATTTTAAAAAAGTAAACCATTTGTGATATTCAAGAATACCCATATATAAACTCTCACATCCAAGGCAAAACAAATATAAGCAAAAAGTAAAAATAAAATAAATGAATGCCCTAACTACATCATTTTAAAGACTAAAAGAGAATCACATCCTCTACTGTAGTGTGGTCAGTTGTGCTCTGCTCACGACACTACGCATCTTCCTCCGTGCAATGACACACACCTGACTGCACAACTTGAGCTGTAGACAGCTCGCCGGGCCACCTCAACAGGTCCCCAGCCCTACGCCTAACGCTAAGCTAGCGCATGGAGCCTAGGGTGGCATTGGCCTCATCCTAGAAGGGACACAGTGTGGCCGTGCTGAGCCTCTTCTGAGCCACCGAAGGGCTGGTCCTGCTCACACCCTCAGCCCCGCACCCGGAAAGCACGGAGCACGAGGGGGAGGGGAGGCCAACCAAGGGCCCAGGCCAGGTCCCAGGAGCAAGAAGTCCCAACCACCAGGCCCTGAGTCGGAGGAATTTTTAAGAAACTCAAAGCCTGGTTGACACACACAGAGTATGGTGGTCCCAGAAGTGAACCGGGCCGTGCCAGTGCGTCTCCACCACGGAGTCCAGGAAGGCAGCGCCCAGGGCGCTGCCCATGCCAGGCTGGGTCAGAAAGGGAGAGGTGGCTGCTAATGCCTGTGCCTGCCCATGGCACTGCCATCCCTGCCTGCTGATGGAGGGCAGGGACAGACTTGCAGTCGCTGTGCAGTGCTCAGGAAGAGAGGAACAGCGACTGCGTCCGCGACCACCCTGCACACAGCCGGATTTTGTGGCTCCTGAAGAAACTGTCCTGTGGAGGTCACTTCTGGCCCCATTCCTAGAGGTGAGCCCTGGAGTCCTCCTGCCTCTGGGGAGGGTCTTGGGGAAGGAGTTTGAGGTAAATGGACGGGGGGGGGGTGATGCCGGCACCCCGAGGGACGTGTCAGCCTGGCGGCAAAGGGAGCTTGTGGTGGCCCACAGGTGCCAGCCCTGTGGCTGCAGCACCCAAAGCCTCTGGGGAGGGCTGGGCATTTGCAAAGATGCCCAGGGCAGCCTAGGGAACGCCCTCAACACCCCTCCTTCCTCTTTTGCTTTTGCTCATGCTTTAAGCTTCCCTGACAACTGACAAATTATAATGTCTCCAGGTGCATTTAGTGGGCACAAGAGGCCACCCAGGGCCACCCAAGACATCGCAAAAGGCAAGACCCCAGCTGCCCGGGGACTTCTCCCATGCAGCTCAGGAACTTCAGGGAAGAGGTGATACCTGGGTTTGGAAGGGGCAGGAGGCTGGAGATATTTCTTCAGCCATAGATACTTGGGCCCTATATTTGTACTTTGGGAAGGGGTGTGTGTGTGTGTGTGTGTGTGTGTGTGTGTGTGTGTGTGCATGTCTGTCTGTCTGTCCATCTGTCTGCCTGTCTGTCTGTGTATGGTGTGTAAACATCAGCTAATGCAAGGTCTGGTGTCACCCAAGCCAAAGAGCTCAGGCACTGAACAGGGTCCTGTCTGGTAGATCCCCTATTAGACTCTGACCTCTCTAGTCAGTTTCAGATGGGTGTGGAGACCAACCAGCTTCCGGCTGTGACAAGCAGAGGGTACATCCTGTCCTCTCCCCACTCATCCTTTAGGCAGGTGGGTGAAGAAGAGGGAAAGGGCTGGAAAGAGACGCTGTCCTTGTACCCAATGCTGTGCCATCACCTGCTATGGGTGATGCGATGCCCCCAAGAGCCCAAGCAAGCAGGCCTTGTAGACTGCAAGATCTCCCTCTGGTTTGGAGTCTGCCATTCCTGGATACCACCCCAGGGTATGCACATCCTTGGGGACCCACCAGCTGCCTCATGCTTGTTTCCACCCATGCCTCTCTCCAGTCGTGGGCACTGTGCTAGCCTGGCCTGCTGCCTCCTGGGGACCCCTTAGCCAGTCATCCTTCCTGCCCTGGCTTAGAGGACCCCTCTCTGCTCCAACCCACCGCTTCACCCCTCTCCTTCCCTAAGGACCCTGGTGCAGACTGGGAAGAGTGAGTAAACACAGCAGGGGCTGAGACTGGCTTGGTCACCTCTCACTGGCCCCTGGGCTTGTGACTTCCCTAGCAGCTCAGGGCACATACTTCTCTGCTCTGGGCCTTAGGCCAGAGTCACACAGGACCTCCTGTGTGCATGGAGCTGAACATGGCTGCCCATGAGGAGGGGGAGCCCAGCTGGCTGCAGAGGGCAGTGAGTCCGTCCTCCACCTGAGTTGGAATGCTGGACTTGTGCCACCATTCCTGAACTGCATTAGCCTGGTCTGGGCACTGACCTGAAAGAAATCTCCCAAAGGCAAAGGGCTGGCTCAGGCCCCAACGATGCAGATAGACTGCAAACGCTCACCTGTTTTGACACTCTGCATGGGAAGTGACCCAGCGGCTGGAAAGGTGGCAAGATGAGGAAGGTCTGAAGGACAAAGACAGGAATGGGGACTCAGCGTTGTGGGCACACAACTATGTTTCTCCTGGGAAATGTCCCAGGTGGAAGGTGAAGGCTCTAGCTAGGACTTGGGGGACCCAAGTGTCATTGCTGAGGGACCCAAGCAATGAACTATGACACCGGATGGGGTTAGGGTTTCATCCTATTTCTGTGAGAGTCGTGAGGATTCTCTGGCTTTCCTAGCAAAGGTGGCTTTGGGGACACTGACAAGACATCAGAGAGGATCAGTACAGCACTGTTTGTGTTCAAGTACAACAGAAAGAGCCCAGCTGTCCCATGACAGACCTCTGTCAACACAGTGAAAAGAGTGAGCTTCACAGAAGAAGCCAGATCAGCAGCTGTGATTCCACTTCTAGAAAGTTTAAAAACAGGTGTGCTTAGCTGCATAAAGTCAGGGAGGCCTTCCTAGCCGTTCAAGGTCAGTGAGGACTCAGGACATAAGCGAACCTGTACTGTAACATCCTGTAACTCAGTGGTGTCCCAAATTTTCTGATCAAGGAGATTATGGGGCCTTGGAGGAAAGTGATCGGTGATGTAGAGTGTGCATAAGGAGAGTCACATGGAGAGAAAACATTCTCTCAGGCTTTCACAGAGAGCAAATTGGTCAAGCAATGCCCATGACTCATCCACACGGCTGACACTGACAAAGGATCTACAAACTGCGGTACAGGGTTTCAGGGTAAACCCTGAGGGGATTTGAGTGACCTTTTCAGATACAAAAGTTACATTTCTTGTTATGTAGGTCTCGCTTTATCTTGGTCTTAGCCATCCAGCAGAAAAGTATAAAAATGAGATATAAAAAGTAAAGCCAAGTAAAAAGCTGTAAAAGACTAAAGTCAACAGCTTCTGACATTGCCAGCCCTATGGATAACCCACTACTATTATGACTATATTGGATTATTTTTCTGAATTGAGGTACCTACAATATTCAAATGGCAAGGGAATACCCATCTCTGACAAAACTAAACAAAAAAGGGGGATACAAATGAAGGACCATTTTGTATCTGTAGAGTAGATATACAGCTACTTTCTCTTAATTCAATGAGAAGAAAGATTTGTGCTGATAGTGTTTGGACAGGATATCTTGTCTGCATCTTATACTATGAAGACAACAATATGCAATGTATTAATTATTGAAAATATCCTACTGATCAGTTTTAAAACTGCCTCTTTGCTATTTGTTTCTCAATAAAATTAATTTTTAAAAAGGTCAGGGAGGCCTTGACCTTCACAGAGGTCAAAGGGCAGAGAGCAGAGAACAGAGGACAGGGGACGCCTTCCAAGCCAAGGAGGAAGATGTTCTTATCACCTCATGGTGGGCGGAGTTTCCACCAGCTCAGGCAGGTTGAAACTCACCAAGCTACTCCATGAACCCCGCTCCATGTGAGACCTCAATAAAAGGACTGTACTTATCAAGAATTTTAGTCGCACAAGGAAATGCTGGCACTGTAATCTGAAGCAAGGAAAAACTAAAAAGCAATAGTATATAGAGAATCATTATTCCAAAAGCATCCATGGGAAAGGTTAGGATTGAAGCATTTCATGTGTTGAAAGTCAGTGCTTTGAGATTATGAAAATCTGCCTCTCTATTTTCCCCACTTC